GGGCAGGTACTGGTAGTAGGAGGAGAAAAGTGATTATCACCCGATAGATTTTATCTTATGAGGAATTTATCCTACAGTTCAGATTTCTTTTGACTGCGAGTTAACTTCTCAATGTTAATCTGTATTTTCAGTATGTTAATAACCATTTTTGTTATGTTCTATCCTGATGAAAAAGGTGTTTTTTACATGGGCTCCTATTTACGTTATTTTGTTAAGCTAGACAAAAGATTTCTGATATGGGGAAGATTCTCTGTCAAATGGGTTTTTGTATTATTTTATTTTTAAGAGTTATTAGCTCTAGCATATAAAATGCTCCTACCAAAGTGTGTAATGTATTATTTGAGAATTTTAATGTTGTGTTCCTTTATAAATGTGTTTTTTGTTTCCATTTAGATCTTGAATACCTGATGCATGCAAAACAACAGCTAGTAACCACAGCTAAGCGTTGGGATTCTTCTTCTAAGACTATTATAGATTTTGAACCTAATGAAACTACTGATTTGGAGAAGAGCCTTCTTATCAGATACCAAATTCCTCTCTCTGCTGACCAGCTGTTTACCCAGTCCGTTTTAGACAAATCATTGACCAAGACCAACTATCAGTCACGGCTGCATGACCTTCTTTATATTGAGGAGATAGCCCAGTATAAAGAAGTTAGCAAGTAAGTTATTTTAGAAACACTTTGTTTAAAAACTCCCCTTTTGATGGTTATTTTTTATTTTTAAAATGGAAGTGTGCCTAGGTGAAGATAGGTAGTAAAGGTTGTTACTCAATAGCTGTTCAGTGCTGTGTCCTGTTCGTCTCGGCCTCCCTAGTGCATAGCATATAGTTCATTTCCACAAGACAGCCACGTGCTAGGTGTGTAAATATGTGGTCCCCGTTGTATAGGAGGTTTCTCTCAATGGTAGTTAGAGTGAGTGCTCAGTGAATATTTGTTGAATAAATGCACAAAAACTGAAAGAGACCACATATTTTGGAACGTAATTTTAAGAACGAAATGATTTGGGATGCCTGGGTGGCTCAGTCGGTTGGGCGTCTGCCTTTGGCTCAGGTAATAATCCCAAGGTCTTGGGATCAAGTCCTGCATTGGGCTCCTTGCTCAACTGGGAGTCTTGCTTTTCCCTCTCTCTCTCTGCCCCTCCCCATGCTTGTGTGCTCACTCTCTCACGCTCTCTATCAAACAAATAAAATATTAAAAAAAAAAAAAAGAATGAAATGAATTAAATCTTCAGGAAAACTATTCGATAATAATAAAATACCTTTCTAGGGGCACCTGTGTGGTTCAGTCGTTGAGTGTCTGCCTTCAGCTCGGGTCATGATCCCAGGGTCCTGGGATCGAGTCCCACATTGGGCTCCCTGCTTGGTGGGAAGCCTGCTTCTCCCTCTCCCACTCCTAATGCTTGTGTTCCCTCTCTCGCTGTGTCTTTCTCTGTCAAATAAATAAATACAAATCTTAAAAAAAAACACAAAACCTTTCTAGTCACTTATAAATGCTTTAACATACTTTACATTTTATCCATATGCCACAGGTAAAGACCAAGAGTAAATACAAAAGCTTATTTGAGGGCTCCTGGTTGACTCAGTCAGTTAAGTGTCTGCCTTCGGCTCAGGTCATGATCCCGGGGTCCTGGGATCAAGCCCCATATCAGGCTCTCTGCTCAGCGGGGAGCCTGCTTCTCCCTCTCTATGGCTTGTGTTCTCTTGCTTGCTCACTCGCACTCTCTCTCAAATGAATACATAAACCTTAAAAACAAAACAAAACAATCACAAAAGCTTATTTGAGTCGTTATAGGAAAAATAATCTTAGAAATGAAAATTTGGGGCACTGGGGTGGCTCAGTTGGTTAAGCGTCTGTCTCTTGATTTTGGCTCTGGTCATGATCTCGGGGCTGTAAGATCAAGCTCTGCTTTGGGCTCCACATTCACTGTGGAGGCTGCTTGAGATGCTCTCCCTCTGCCCCCCACCTCTCTTGCACGTGTGCTCTCTCTCTCATAAATAAATAAAACAAAGATTAAAAAAAATGAAAGTTTGAGTGAAGGAAGATATTAATGAAAGCGTTGTTATATTTGGTAGTAGCATTCCACTTTTTAGGTAAAATGGGAACAGGCCTTAAATACTGAACCATAGGGGCACCTGGGTGGCTCAGTCGGTTAAGCGGCTGCCTTTGGCTCAGGTCATGATCCCAGGGTCCTGGGATCGAGCCCCGCGTTGGGCTCCTTCCTCAACGGGGAGCCTGCTTCTCCCTCTCATTCTGCCTGCCGCTCTGCCTATTTGTGTTGTCTATCTTTGTCAAATAAATAAATAAAATCTTCAAAAAAAAAATACCGAACCATAGTTATGAGACATAAATACATTTTTTATAAGTTGTTTTCCCTTTAGATATAGCCTAAACAACCTATTTTTTCCTAAGGTATCTTTATTGATACCTTATCATTAATATTAGTAGATACTGAACACTCATTAAGGGATATATTCAGAAAAAGAAAAGTAAAAACTTAAACATACTTTGTGTTACTTTATTTATAGATTAAATATGATGTAGCTTTTGGAACATATCTAATTTCAAATTAAATGCTTGCAAGATTTACAAAGTTAGATAGAATATATTTTTCATTACTCTTTTAAGACTTCAAGTTATGGCCATTGATGGTCTCTTAGAAGACTTTCATTAACTGTGTCCATATACAGTTCTAATGAAATAGTCACTTACTAAATAACAAGGACAAGGCAACCCTCTCGGCTCCCCTCCCTCCTTGGGAGCTTTGTACTTTGATTTTGCTATTGCTCAATAAACCTTGATTAAAAAAAAATAACAAGGACAGTGGCTTGTATAATGTATATTCACATATTAATATGCATATATGTTATTTACATGGTCATAGCTTCCTTTTCTTAGTAAAGAAAACACTGATAAAAAATCATAAATATTGGGATGAAATAGAGTTTAAAAGCTTACCAGAATCTTAAGAGACTATTTTGGAGTACCATAATAGAAATTCAGAAGAAATTATGTATTAACTCATATTTGTTTAAATGTAACAAATATTGTTTGTTCCGATTTAAAAATCCTTCCATATACATTACCTCAGAACTTATAACTAAAGATCAATAAGCTTATGGATTATTACGTTAAAAATAATTTTTAAAAAATGGAAATTTGAGGTGTCTGGGTGGCTTAGTGGGTTAAGCATTGGACTCTTGATTTCAGCTCAGGTCATGATCTCAAAGGTTGTGAGATTGAGCCCCGTGTTGGGCTGTGTGCTGGGCATGGAGTCTGCTGGAGATTCTCTCTTTTTCTCTCCCTCTGCCCCCTCCCACTTGCTTTTGTGCTCTCTCCCTCTCTTAAGAAAAAAAAAAAAAAGGAAATTTGAATAGATAAAAGAAAACCCTACAATATTGCAGAGGTCAGATACTGATCAAGAAACTAAGTGGATGAAAGTTCACTCTAAGAGCACCTTGCAAGGGTTTCTTAAAGCCCATATAAGGGGCCCCTAGGTGGCTCAGTCGGTTGAGCATTGACTCTTGGTTTTGGCGTGGGTCGTGGTCTCAGGGTCGTTGGGTAGAGCCCTGCATCGGGCTCTGTGCTGAGTGGAGACTGCTTGAGTTCTCTCTCTCTCTCTCTGCCCCTCCCCCTGCTCGCTCTCTCAAATAAATAAAAAAATCTTAAAAAAAAAGCCCATTAAAGAGGGGCTTGAAAATACCTGCAACATGAAATGAACATGGGTGGCAGACTAAGTTGGTATATTTCTGGAGGAGAGTTATTTGGCAGTTTGTATTACAGGTCTTTAGAAGGTTTGAACCTTTTGGTGTAGTAATTCTACTTACGAGGAATCATCCTAAAGAAAGAATCAGAGGTGAAGTTAACGATGCCTGTAAACAAATGTCTTTCAAAGAGTAGTGAAGGAGAACTTAAGTAAATTATGATCTAGCCATATAATCCAGTGTTCTAGAACTACAGTTGTTCCCCCTTATCCGTGGTTTCACTTTCCGTGGTTTTAATTACCTGCCATCAACTGTGGTCCAGAAGCAAAAGATCCTTCTTGAGATCTATCATCAGAAGGTCAGTGATGGTTTGATGCTCCGTCACTATGCTTACGTCGTTGACCTCACTTCATCTCATCACCCAGGCATTTTATCATCTCACATCATCACAAGAAAAAGTGTGAGTACAGTAAGATATTTTGAGAGACACCCCACATTCACATAGCTTTTTTTTTTTTACAGTATATTGTTATAATTATTTTATTATTGTTGTTAATCTCTTACACCTAATGTATAAAACTTTATCATCGGTATGTATAGTTAGGAAAAAACATAGTATAAGTAGGATTTGGCACTATCCATGGTGCAGTCGCTGGGGGTTCTTGGATCATATCCCATGCAGATAAGGGGGAACTTCTGTATTGAAATTATGTTCTTGAAGAATTTTCAAAACAGTGAAGATGCTGATGGTACAATATAAAGGGGAGAATATGCTAGTTATGAAAGCATCCACTACAATTCTAATTTTGTATGTGTGTATGTACATGCATATACATGGATATATTTGCATATAAAATATTGGGAAGAGTTAAAGCATTATGTGTTCTGGTTGGTGAAATTATGACTAATTTTTATTTTTTTTGTTTATTAAAGATTTTATTTGTTTGTCAGAGAGAGTGCGCGTGGGTGCGCGCACCAGCACAAGGGGTGGGTAGAGGGGCAGAAGGAGAGGGAGAAGCAGGCTCCCTGCTGAGTAGGGAGCCCAATGGGGGACCTGATCCCAGGACCCTGGGATCAAGACCTGACCTGAAGGCAGACGCTTAACTGACTGAACCATCCAGGCATCCCTGATTTTTATGTCCCAGTGTGGTTTTCTCTATTTTTGAAATGTTGTAAAATGACTACGTAATTACTATTGTAATAAGAAAAAGCAAACAAAGAAATAGAAAGGAAGTTAGAATATTATCAGTTGTAGCACTTGATGACCCAGGTGTAAAATTGCCCTTAGAGATAGAAGAAAGATTGTAGTAAGACAGTGTATAGTAGGAATATCTGAGCTTTCTCTTTTTTTTAATCTTTAAAATAGTTAATGACTCAAAGAGGGATATTTACAAATGGAATATAAGACTGTAGGATCACTTTTTATATGTTATTTATGCCAAGTACACAAGAGTTTGAAGGATCTTAAAGACAGAAATGAGAATTTATTGTTACATGTCTAATGTGACAAGTAGATAGTTACTGTGTCAGAGACTTCTGAAAATTTTCAGTGATTCTCTCACCCAAAGGTAACCCCCTGGATGTAAAAGGTGGTAAATTACACTTCTGAATTTGACAGGCTTTTGTAAAATTTTGGGAAGTATAGGATAGAGTTTGTGCACATACCAAGAGGCAAATCCTCATAGTTATTAGATGGAGTTCTCAGAAGGTGTCTGTTAGCAGATGGACAAGGGACAAATAACAGACATGAACTGAAGGATTTTGAAAAATTTTTGACAAAGTTTTATATACTACTTAAAAAAATTGTATTTTCTGTTTTTTCCTCCTTTCCCCTTTAAATTAGTATTTGTATTTTAATGTTGCCTTGAATTTAATTCAACATTTGATTGTTAGTTCTTTAAGCACAAATACCGTGAAAGATATATTTAAAAACTGGATTTGAGGGGGCTCTGTATGCAG